GTTGTTCAAGTTTTCTCTGTATGTGATGATTTTCTATCTACTTTAATTGTGGATTTGTCTATTTCTTTTTTCAGTTTCATATCTTCCTGATTGATAGCTCCGCACAATGAAGGTACTACGGCAGACCGGATAGAAAGTTTGAGCGGGACTGGCCGAAATGTTCTATCTCTTTAAATTTCCTCTAGAGCGCAAAGAAAATGAAAAAAAAAAAAAAAAAAAGAATCACTACATATCCCGGCATGCCTAGTGGCGCGCAAGACAAATGCAAATAAAAGACTCTGGAAATTCGGCTACGCCCTTTTTCTGGGTTGGCAGGGCAACTGATACACAAGCCAGCCAATCGCTGAGATATTCACCTGAGGAGGCGGGGATTCGACAAGAGCCAATAGAACGCAGGGCAGGTGGTTCCACTGGCCAATGGATTGGGCAACAGGGCGGGCTTTTGGTGAAGGGAAGGCGGTGGGAAAGATGGCGGTGGCTTCGCGACCCTCTGGGTGGTGGCTGCGGTGGGGATATCATTTGTCGGCTCGAGTTGGGTCCAAGATGTTGCTCCTGCTCGTTTTATTAGGGTCTGAGCAGGGGCCACAGCAAGTCGGGGCGGGTCAAACGTTCGAGTACTTGAAACGGGAGCATTCGCTGTCGAAGCCCTACCAGGGTGAGGCGCCCGGAGCGAGGTGGTCTTGCAGGGGAGGGTTTCGAGACCTAAGCTGAGCTGCAGAGGCGGGAGTGATGAAGGGTACCGTGGCTTTGAGGAACCTGTCCGCGGTGCGTGGGGGGCCTACCGGGACTCCTGCCGCGTTTGGGCGCCCCGGGCCGGAGGTCAGGCCCCCCCACCTCCAGTCTTAGCACTGGAAGTTTCCAGCAGGTTCGGGTGGTGCTCTCGGCAGCTACTAGTGCTAGTCCAGGACGTAGGAGTGAGGGAGTTTGGAGTTGGACAGGAATGGGAGAAGGGGAGAGTCATGCAAATGGTGGAAGACCACTAGCAATGAGCCAGTCTCTGAACATTTTTGTGGATATGCTAGAAATAAAGCAGGTAGTAGAGCTGGAGTAGAACTTGGACGAAAATGAGAAACAAGATATATATATATATATTTTTTTTTTTTTTGGCCGCTTAGCACTACTGCTCTTCTCCAGTCCAGGAAAACTGTTGATGGACGAGGACAGTTTTTTATTTAGACACTAAAGTCTAAAAGGCCTTTAAGAACACCTCATGGTTGAAAAAGTCGATACATTTAAATACAAAGAGGACATTTAATTACAAAGAGCGCGAAATCCGTGCAGACCCGCTTAACACAAATCTGTTTCATGGGTGGGCTATGGGTGTGTGGGATAGCGCAAACACGCAAAAATCCAACTCAGACAAAGTATGCGCTCCCAGTAAAGGTCATCATTTATTCTCTTAGCAGATGCATTGGTGCTTGCTCTGGGCTGTTCCTTTGCTGATACCGTGGGTTATACAGACACAATATCCCACTTTAGTGGAGGTTTGGGAATGGGTAAGAAGAGGAGAAGTAGCATCACATTGCAATCATTGTTTAAAGAAAAATATGATTAAAAATAAAATATAAAACATAATCATAAAAATATGAAACCCCAGAGGCCTGAAGGTCAACTGCTTTTTTGGTATTACAGGAAATGATCTTCTCCGCCAGGGTTCCTGAGCTACTATTATCATGACATGGTCAATAAAGTGATAGCTCTGATGTACTTTGAGGTCTTTTGAAAAAGGCATTGTGAAAGGAAGCTGTAAAGATGATAAAGATTTAAGATTTATGAGTGACAGGAGGTGGGAGATTGACATGAAAGGGAAACAAAGGTGATGCCACCAGCTTTTGGAGAGTTCTTGGTGGCCTTCTGAAGGCTGGTGTTTAAGAATATGAACTGATGTACTTCCTCCCCACAGGTGTAGGCACAGGCAGTTCCTCACTGTGGAATCTGATGGGCAATGCCATGGTGATGACACAGTATATCCGACTTACCCCGGATATGCAAAGTAAACAGGGTGCCCTGTGGAACCGGGTGGTAAGAATCTTTCTCCTTTGTTGGTTCTCAAACTTGGCTGTCTGTTGGAATCAATGCCTGGGTCCCACCCCCAGAGATTGGAAATTAATTGGAACTGAGTGTGTCTTATATGTAGTGTTGCTATAACATAAATAACTAAAATGGGTGGCTTTAACAAACAAATTTATTTTCTCACAGTTTGGAAGGCTAGATGTCCAAATACAGGGTGCCAGCTGTAGGGATGGCACATTACTCTCTGTCCATCCCTGAGTTATGTTTTCTATGTATATCAAGGATCTTTATTTTAGAGATTATGATGACCTTCATAACAAAGAAATGCACTCTGTTGTCCTAATCATACCAAAATAATGTATTTTGAGTCTGTTTTCTGAAATGTTTCTAATTCCTGATTGGTCTTATAGTGCTGCTTCTTGGAAGTGAATAGCTTAATTCTTGTTTAATTATTTTGCTTTGTAACATAGAAGACTACTCTTAAATTTATCCCAGACTTCATCCCAGTATGCCACTCATTATTTTAGCTTGTAGAGTCTAATTTTAAATTTTATTTTCATGTGAAAGTCACTCTCACTCTGAGCCATTGGTCATTTCATTTGTCCTCTGGACCTTTTCTAGCTACAGTGTCTTCCTTGAGGTATGGCAGCAAGAAGTGAATGCAGCATTCCTGGTGTGGCTGCAGTGTGATTTTGTACAAGTGTAAGATGATGTTTTCTTTTTGGTTTTCAGGGCTCTTTCTAAATCTTTTTACTTTTGGGGTTGACATTGGTATTCTTTGATACTTTTTCCTGGGCCTCTCATAAGCTAAGGATTTATTTTTACATATTTTTTCTTATTAATTGTAGATAGTGAACCTTAGAAAAAAGAATGGTTTCTTTGTCCTATTTACTTTATGTGGCAGAGAATTCCGTAGGAGCGGAGAGATAAGAGGTAGAGGTTTCTCCATGAGCTCTTTGCAGGAGCTGGCCTCTTAACCCAGATTCTAATGCTGAACACTTGTTCTTGGACAGAGTGCAGGACAGTGTGTTCTGGTAGAAGAGGTGAAGGGCTGGCAATTGAAAGACTTGGGTTCTACATCCTGCGCTATCATAGACCCCATGAGCCCTGGGCAGGTAGGTTATTTAACCTCAGTTTTCAGTTTCTCTGTCTGTCAAATGAACTTTTAAATACCTTTTATTTGTCTACCAGGGTTGTGAGAGTAGATTAAGGCAGTACAAGTGGAAAAAACCAAACTCACTGCCATCAAGCCAATTCTGACTCATAGTGAACCTTATTGAGTTTCCAAGTTTGTAAATCTTTACAGAAGCAGACTACCCCATCTTTCTTTCATGGAGCAGCTAGTGGGTTCAAACTGCTGATCTTTTGGTTAGCAGTTAAATGCCTTAACCACTGCGCCACCAGAGCTCCTTTTGTAAGTGCAAAGGCTTTGTAAAGTTTACGTTATTACAGAAATGTGTATTGTTATTAGGTTATTATTTTAGACCTGTTGTAAGAGTGATAGGCTTTTGGGGTTTATAAATGATTGTGTCTAAGGCTTGATCCTTTGTTGCTGTATGCCTTAACTCTGTTATGAGCAAATCTAATCTTGGATCTCATTATCTTGCCCTTTTTCCAATTCTCTGATACTTGCATCCTTTGTTGTTTGGCTATCAGGATGAGCAGTGGAGTTGCTTCAGAGTTATTTAAATAAAGTGCATTTATTTGAGCAGTGGTTCTCCAGCTGGGTTGTCCATTGGAATCAATGTCTAGGTCCCACTCCCAGAGATTCTAGTTTAATTGGAATGAGTGTATTTTAGTTGCCTAGTGCGCTATAACAGAAGTACTGAAATGGGTGGCTTTAACAAACAACAGTTTATTTTCTCATAGTTTAGGAAGCTAGAGATCCAAATTCAGGGTACAAGCTCTAGGGGAAGCCTTTCTTTCTTTCTGTCAGCTCAGGAGGAAGGTCCTTGTCTCTTTTGTGCTTCTCTTCCAGGGCATTCTTCATGTGGCTTGATACCTTTCTTCCCCTACTTCTGCTTGCTTCTCCATGTAAAATCTGCTCTTTTTCCATCTCAAAAAGATCGACTCTACACTGATACACCTCAAAAGAAAAAAATACACTCACTGCCATCGAGTTGATTCCACTGTAATAGGGGAAAAGAGACCCCAGGTTCAAACAGGTTCAATAAAGACACTTTTATTAAGTGTTGGACAGGACAAAGACAATCGTCCAGGATGTGGGGAACCATCAGCATGAGAAAGCTGAATTAAGTCTGCTGAGTCATGGCCATGGGCTAATTATATATGATTTTTTTTTAAAAAGAGAAATCATCACAAAATCGCGGGAGCTCTGGTAGTGTAGTGCCTAAGGCACTTGACTATTCACCAGAAGGCTGGTGGTTCAAACCTACCAGCCACTAATTGAAAGGAAGGTTGAGCAGTCTACTTCCCTAATGATACCACCTCAGAAACTCAAGGAGGGGCCGACTCGACAGGCACATAACAACAACAACAACATCACAAAATTATATTTGGCAAATTATGGTAAATTTATTCCTCACTGTTGTAGGTGGGATTACAGAAGCAAGGAAAAGACCATGATTGGGCTATGTACATAATTGAAGATGGAAAAAGGTTACAGGATTGGTTCTGGGCCTTGACTACCTGGTAAGTGGTGGTCCAGATAGGCTGTGACTCATGACCTTGCAGCCTGAGTCTTAACCACAAGGTGGCTACCAAACAACACCAAGACCCCAACCTTATTTTAAATTAGAAAACGACATTGTCAGACAAGTTGCCTAGTTCTTTGTGTGAGTATAATCTGCTTTCCACCTTCAGAAGGCTGAAGGCAAACTGCCCCTTCCTAGGTGTGCCCTAGAACTTGTCTTTGTGTAGCCACAATGCTGGTTTAATGGTCAGAAAGAACCCAAATGGTGTTTGAAATTTGTGTCAAGCCTCAAAATGGCATTAGGGCTTCCACTGCAGATCACAGCCTTCCACAACCCCAAGTGCTTTAGAATTTAAGCTCTAATACATGACTCATAATGATCCCATTGGGTTTCCAAGGCTCTAAATCTTTATGGAAGCAGACTACCTCATTTTTCTCCTGTGGAGTGGCTGGTAGGTTTGAACCACTGACCTTTTTGGTTAATAGCTAAATGCCTTAACCACTGTAAGATCAAAGTTCCTTAGGCTGATGTTGTTGTTATGTGCTGTTGAGTCGGAGCCCACTCATAGCGACCCCTCCTTGGGTTTCTGAGGCAGTATCAGTACGAAAGTAGATTGCCCCATTTTCCTTCTGAGTAGTGGCTGGTGGGTTTGAACCTCCAGCCTTCTGGTTAGCAGTCAAGTGCCTTAGGCACTATGCTACCAGAGCTCCTCCTTAGGCTGATACACCTCCGTATTTACTGACTATCTCCTTACCTGACATTATGCATTTATAACAATAGTAAAATTACTATCCAAATATTTTGCACACTAATGATGTATGTCTGGTACATACATCATCTATGTACCAATGAACACCAAGATGAGAGTAACGCAGGCTGTGATGGTTAAGGTTATGTATCAACTTGGCTAGGCCATGATTCTCATTGGTTTGGCAGTTATGTAATGATGTAATTTGGCAGTTATATAATCATACAGTCATCCTCCATTTTGTGATCTAATGTGGTCATCTGCCATTGTCACAGAGGAAAATTTTTGCATCACTACCTTGTCTTTTTCCATAGTGATACTGCCTGGGAAACCCAAGGAGGGGTCGCTGTGAGTCAGGTCTGACTCGACAGCACATAACAACAACAACAACAACCTTGTCTTTGGAACCAACCATGTTGATAAGTGAGAAGTGAGTGTATTGCCTTATTAACATAACAAAGAACACCCATTCCCAAATGGGATTGTAGCCACAAATATAAACAAAAACAACAACAAAAAAACCCAACATAACTGCCATTGAGTGATTTGCAGACTCATAGTGACCCTGAGGCAGTATCTCTATGGAAGTAGATTGTCCAGTCTTCCTTCTGAGGAGTAGCTGAGTGGGTTTGAACCCCCAACCTTCTGGTTAACAGTCAAATGCCTTAGGCACTACACCACCAGAGCTCCGGCCACAAATATAGGGGTTAGGATTTACAGCACATACTTTTTGTGGATGCAATTCAATCCCTAATGGTGTGACCCAGGTAAACGTATTTTTGAAAGCCCTCAGGTGATTCTAACAGGCAACAGTTTCAGGACCACTGTTGGACATAGTTTTGAGCAAAACTGTATAGCATGTGCTACATGTGAAGCCAAAAATAAATGGCAGACATTTCTTGGTTCAGTGTAAACTCATCCTGCTCTTCTCCCAGGGGTATAATTCCTACCCACTGGCTATGGGGAAGCTTCCTACCACTGGATTTCACTCTTGCCATGAAATTTAAATGGAGTAGCAGAGAGATGAGAACTCAAAATGACAAGACAGGGCCTAGGCTCATCAGAGGTAGGTAAGCTATTGCAGATTTCAAGCTGCTTTGATGAATTTAAGAGTAACCTCACCACCTTTTGATTCTGTTCTCCTAATACTAACACTTTTGGAAAAGTATCCCAGAAATTAAAAACAAAAACTGAAAGTAATCTAGCAATATATTGCCCAGGAACCAGAGGCAGGGTATTTGGAGAGCCTCTGGCTGAACCCAGCTGGTTTATCTGTTCCTCCTTCCCTTCTTTCTTCACTGGGAACTGCTTTAACCAGGAGTTTCTAAACCAAACCCACTCTGATTTCTCCTTAAAACTAATTCATAGCACTTAATTATCCACTTGCTTCCTCCTCTGTTTTTCTAAAGTTTTGTTATACAATTCAGAGTCTGATTAGCACCTACTTCTTTGATGTTTCTCACCAGAGGCTGTTTCTATGTTGGGGATAGTGTTGTTGCCTCTGGTGCTTTGTATGTCTTGTTCAAGGACATGAGAGTTTAGGGGACAGTAACTTAAACCTTCACTCTTGTGAACTCTGGCTTGTCACTTAGTTGATAGAGGGCCAAGTCTAGCTAATTAGAGTTGTTTATAGCATCTGCTAATTATTCCCAGAAACTCTTTGCATAATGGCTTAGCTTTTCTGATTCTTTTGTAACAAATGAGACTTTGACCTTTAAATCCAAGCATTTTAGAATCTTTCTGTCAATGAGGGGTGATGCCAAATTGAAAATGAGTATTAATTTAGTTACCAATGCTCCTTTGGCTGCCTATTTTGCTGGGTGAAGAATGTGGGAGTCTAAATTAGCGTACATCTGTCTTTTCTATCTTGGGAGTACTATCCTGTTTCTGTTGGGAGATGTTGAAGATAATTGGGAAGTTGGTTCACTTTTCGTATTAAATCTCTTATACATTTGAGTGGCTCAATCCACTTAATTTTACTTAACAACTCTTAGATTTTGATTCTGATCCTTAGCCTAGTGTTAAGGGCATTATGCTTTCCAAGTCTCTGGATAGCTGATGGAGCTTGAGGGCTTTAGCAGTTCATTCTGCTCATTGATTCCAGTGTCTTTTTCACTTTAGCCATGTTTCCTGAGAGACTGGGAGTTGCAGGTGCACTTCAAAATCCATGGACAAGGGAAGAAGAATCTGCACGGGGATGGCTTAGCAATCTGGTACACAAAGGATCGGATGCAGCCAGGTATTGGGACCCTGGGTTACTCCTGTGTGAGGTGTGACAGCCTGCTTTTTTATGTGCCCTCTTTTTGAGATGGGTACTTCTGTACCATGCCAGCAGTTTTCCTTCTACCTTGATGTGTGTGGATGAAGACTGGCCTGTGTAGGCCCTAGACTGGGGTCTAAGTCCTAATAATCAGGTAAGCTTGACTTATCCTTGGGAGATTTCTTGCTTGTTAATTCTTTCCAGATTTCTCTGTGAAACCAGTTGGCCTGTTGGCTGGGTGAAAGCACTAGCTCTCCCAGATACTCGTGGTTGGGTGAGCCCATTTCTTTTAGGCATGCACAGTGAAAGATCTCAGCACTGCTGAGTCAAACACAGAGTTAACCAATTTTTTTCTTGTTGTGCTGCTGGAGCCATTGCTCTAAGTAGGTGGCAGGTTCAACCTGATTTGACCTGATCTCTTTTTCAACAAGAAGTCGACCTTGGGAATTCACTTCTCTCTTGGGGGCATAGTCTTCACCAAGTGTTTGTGAAACACAGTTCTGTAGGGGTGCCTTAGCAACCAGTTTGGATTAGGGAGCTGCTATAGTGCTAAACATGGTTGCAGTGGCATTTTCTCTTTTCCCTGCCTTCAACAATAGACAACTACAGATACTAACTGGATGCTATTTATAGGCCATGCACTTTGCTGGGTGCTTTTACGTGTGTTTTCTCATCTTAGGAGAGGCCTGGGAATCCTTTGAATTTCACTTTTTCCTCCATCGTAGTGATATATTATTCCTTTATCAACTCTTGGCTTTATTTCATTGTTCATCATCTGTTCTTTCTCTCTAGGGCCTGTGTTTGGAAACATGGACAAATTTGTGGGGCTGGGAGTATTTGTAGACACCTACCCCAATGAGGAGAAGCAGCAAGAGGTAATGGCAAGTGTCAGCGCTTAGGTCAGCTGCACTGACATCTCAGTCCTTTGCCTCAAGAGTATTGTTCAGGAGGGAACAGAGGGAATAGAAAGTGAGGGGTTTGGTTGCATTTTCTTCATCTATAGAACTTCAAAAGCTAATGTCCTTGTCAGTGCTTTTTCTAGGGAGAACTGTTTGTGAGTGCACACTCCTTTGGGAATAGCAGTTGTTAATGGGGGCTTTTTCTTTAGGATTAACAGTGTTCTCTCTTGCGTACCTTCAGTAGCCACTGAAATTGAGCAGTGTCTGCTTGACTGGTTGGTGATCTGGCTACTAGTCCAGCACCAGAGCAAGCTGAGTTTATCTAACTGAGCTGGCCCTTGACTTTTAATATATCACTGCTGTGCTCTCTTCTGCAGCTTGCTCACACTTTCCAACATCCTTTATTTCTTCTCAGCGATTGAGGAAATCCCAGCAATTCCGTGAAACCAGTATCTGGATATTTGCAGAAGCTTCTTGCTTCTTATTAGCTGGCTCTGGGGGTTCTTTAGGCATCCCTGAGTGGTGCAGTTAATGTGCTCGGCTGCTAACTGAAAGATTGGAAGTTCTAGTCTACCCAGAGGTACCTCAGAAGAAAGGCCTGGTGATCTACTTCTGAAAAATCAGTCTTTGAAAACCCTGTGGAGCACAGTTCTACTCTGACTCATGTGGGGTCACCATGAGTTGGAGCTCACTTGATGGCAATTGGTTAAAGGGTTCTTTAGCATTTTCTTTTACTGACAATAGGTTTATAGTCTCTCTACCCTATGGCATTGCCACCAGATGGTGGGAAAGTGATTACAATATGACAATTTGTTGTGTGTATCTTGTAGATAAATAATAATTAGCAGTGAAGGTAGGATTAGGAATAGCAACAGAGCTCACTGTAATTGTTTCCCAAAGTTTATTATGAAAAATTTCAAACTTAAGAACAAAATTGGTAGAATAGTAGAATGATCATTGGGTGAAACACCCAGATTCAATGATGCTTAACATTTTCCCACATAGCTTACTTCAGAGGAGGCAGAAAGTGAACCTGAATTAGAAGAATGAGCCTTTTGTTGTGAGTCAGTTATAGAGTTGCCTCTGTCTTCTTTCTGGGCTTCACATTAAGGACTTTCTAGGTATCAGGCCCTGGGAATTAAATAGGGAGCAAGACCAGCGTGGCCCTTGCACTCAGTAACACTGATACATGAAAATTCTGATGGGGAAACTATGGGGCACTGTCAGAGGACACGTTGTTGTTGTTGTTATGTGCCGTTGAGTCGGCCCCGACTCATAGCGACCCCTCCTTGGGTTTCCGAGGCAGTTATCACTACGGAAGTAGGATTGCCCAACCTTCCTTCCGAGGAGTGGCTGGTGGGTTTGAACCGCCAGCCATCTGGTTAGCAGGCAAGTGTCTTAGCCACTATGCTACCGGAGCTCCCGTCAGAGGACATAGCAGGAGAATTTAATCTGGAGTGGGCATGATGATCATGGTCATGACTGGAGAAGGCTTCCTTCCTAACATTTACACTGAGGTGTATAGGATAAGGAACCAGTGTCCATGTAGAGGGAAAAGCATGCTAAGGTGCTAAGACAAGAGAGAACAAGAGAGGGGGAGATCTAAAAGAGGATAGGAGAGAGATGAGGCTAGAAAGAAAAGCAGAGCCAGCAGTCCTGCCTCCAGGGGCCATTGTTCACCTTGTGTTCTTCAGTATTAACACTGTTCCCTCTTGTGCATATTAGCAAGTGGTGTTTCCTTGGGTGGTTGGTGGTTTGGCTATTTATGCCAGCACCAGTGCAATCTGAATGTATGTGACTCATCCTCACCATACACATTTTGAGGCCAGGTTCTGGAGGGTCATCTTCCTATTAAGGAGTCTAGACTTTATTCTAAGGGAGTAAGTTCATGAGAGGCTTATAATGAGGGGCATTTCATGACTAGATTTGCAGTCATGCTGAGGACATGGTGGTAGTTAGAAATGCATCGGGATAAGTGCCATGGCCTTCAGGGATTAACTCGAGTTTTAGACCTGGGTGTCTGGAATCAGAGACAAATTGTTCAAACGCTCTGCACATTTGTTTCACCCTCGGATAGTAGTAACTCTGATTTGAGAGAGCAGATCTAATGAGCTTCATATTAAGCCCATTATTTTATAAGGAGAGCAGATGTTAATCAAAAAAATTACTTTTAGTTGGTAAAAAAATGGAGGCTACTTTTCTGGCCAGCTATTGTGGTTCTTAAGCCCAGCTGCAAATTGGAATTAACTGGAGAGCTTTAAAAAATACTGATGTCTAGGTCCCAATCCCCTGATTCAGTTAATCTAAGGTGCAGTCTTGTAACCTTTTTTTTTTTTTAACATTTTATTATGCTTTTGGTGAAAGGTTACATAGCAAAGTACTTTTCAATTCAATAATTCCTGCACAGATATTCCCGTGAAATGCTTGCAATCCCTGCAATGTATCAGCACTGTCCCCATTTCCACCCTGGGTCCTGTTTCCATTTTCAGTTTCCTTAACCTCCCTGCCTTCTTATCTTTGCTTTGGGGCAAATGTTGCCCTTATGGTCTTTGACAGTTAATGTTCTAAGGAGTATATTCTTCTCAGGTGTTGTTTATCATATAGACCGGTCTATTATTTGGCTGTAAAGTGGTCTCCAGGAGTGGTGCAGCCTTATTAAAAGCTGTCTGGGTGATTCACACATATAGCCAGTGCTGAGAACCCATAGACCATTATCAAGTGCTTGTTTCCTTAAAAAACTAATAAAAGCATTTCTCATTTATTAGGTGGGAGCCCTGATAGCACAGTGGTTAAGTGCTTGGCTGCTAACATAAAGGTCCGTGGTTCGAATCAACCAGCTGCTTTATGGGAGAAAGATGTGGCAGTCTGCTTCCATAAAGATTTACGCCTTGGAAACCCTATGGGGCAATTCTACTCTGCCCTGTAGGGTTGCTGTGAGTTGGAATTGACGTGGCAGCAGTGAGATTTGGTTTTTTGTGTTGTTAAGTGACTACCATGTGCCAGGTACTTTGCATATTGTCTCAATTCTCATCAAATCTCCTTAAAGTTATTGTTTTATTCGTTTTTGCTGGTGAGTAAACAGATTCAGAGAAAGTAAGTGTCTTGTTCAAGGTAACAACAATGTGAGGTAGAGCCAGTTTTTGAACACAGGTGTCCCTGATTTCAGAGGCTGTGCTTTTTAAACTATGTGTTGCTCTACTGACTGCCATCCCATTTTTCCTTCTGTCAGATTGATTTCTTCCTTGAAAATGGAGACATCATTTTTATGTGATTTCCTGTGTAATTTTAGTTCTTGGAGTTTGAATGTAAATTCAGTCCAAAGAGTATATGGAGTATACTTCTTTCTAAAGACCAAGAACCTGAAACTATCCTAGTAGGTAATATCAGATATGTTTTGTCAGTAAAATGGTTTACTTTAATATCAGACATTGCATATAATAAAGGTACTAGGCATTGTTTTAAGCATTTTTAGATGTATTGCTCACTTCTTAAAACAATCCTATGGGAATAGGTATTGTTATCCATACTTTATAGGTAAAAAAACTAAAGTGCAGAAAGGTTAAAAAATTTGTCATTAATAGGTGTGACTCCAGAGTTCAATATTACTGTTTTGAACACATAAGAATAATGTGACAAATAGTGTACCTTTTGAAAACTTGTAAATGCATATGTGTATCTACTGTACAAGGAGAACAAGGAGCAAGCAGGAGAGTGTGCAGAGCAATTTCTCAGATCTCTCAAATCTCTGGTCTCTTGTTTCCTTGTCACCAGAGCACACAAGACCCCATTCCAAAAAACCAAACTCACTGGCACTGAGTCGGATCCGCTGCATAGCGACTCCTCCTTGGGTTTCTGAGGTGGTGTCACTACAGAAGTAGATTGCCCAGTCTTCCTTCCAAGGAGTGGCTGGTGGGTTTGAACCACCAGTCTTCTGGTTAGCAGTCAGGTGCCTTAGGCACTATGCCATCAGCACTTCTCAAGACCCCATTGCTCAAATTATTATTTCCTACTGTGTTTGTTTATAATGAAACTCTGGGGAAATAATAGCAACCTGTCATTCATTTAAGTAGGAAATGAGGAAATTAGGTATATAAATTGAGTTTAGACTTGGTTCTCTGAGACAACAACAGATTGCTCAAATTCATATATCATTGGTTTCCCAATCAGTAGTGTGCCAACTCTAGTTTAGGTGGGTAGATCTAGAACTTAAATATTTGGGTGCCATAGTGAGGCTTCCAGATCACTTGCAGATTAAAATGGTAATTAAAGAAGAAATAGAAAATCTGAATAGACCTATAACAAGTGAAGAGATTGAATTAGTAACAGGAAAACTACCCACAAAGAAAAGCCTAGGCCCCGGTGGCTTCACTTGAGAATTCTACCAAATATTTAGAGTAGAATTAACACCACATTTTTCTCAAACTTTTCAAAAAATAGAGAAGAGAACATTAGCCCACTCATTCAATGAGGCCAATGTTATCCTGATGCTAAAAACAAAGATATTACAAGAAAAGAAAAGAACAGACCAATACCCTTTATGAATATTGCTGTAAAATTTTCAACAAAATATTAGCAGATCAGAATATTACCAGCAACATATAAAAATGATTTTATGCCAGGACCAAGAATTCAAGATTGATTTAAAATCCAAAAATCAATTAATGTAATATTCCCTATCAGTAGAATAAAGGACAAGACCATATGATCATCTCAGTAGACATGCAAAAAACATTTGACATAATTTAACACCTCTATGATAAAAGCACTCTCAACAAATTAAAAATAGAAGGGAACTTCTTTAACTTGATAAAGGGGATCTGTGGAAAACCCACAGCTAACATCATTCCGCCTCAGAAACCCAAGGAGTAGTCTATATGAATTGGAATTGACTGGATGGCAGTGAGTTTTTGGTAACATCATATTTAATGATAAAAGACTAAATGCTTTTCCTCTCTAAGATTAGGAATAAGACAAGG